TTTGCAGAATTTGATTGGCTAATTTGAAAATAAGTGGACAATTTTGTCCAAAATGATTTGGCCTAAATTACCTTGAATTACCTTAATTTTGGCTATAATTAATGTGTAACCTTAAAATTTTTTTTGACTTTTTTTGGTTATTAGGTAGTACAAAATACATATTATTGCAATCCTTACATGCTGGTTTATAGGCAAATCTGCAGTCAGAAATTATAGAATTGCCTTATTTGATAGCTTAATATTAATCAAGTATTAACCAATCAAATCCCATGGTCTGATCTGACCATGGACAGCTTCTTATCTGATGTTTTGTGCCCGAAATTCCAGCTTATAAACTATGTCGATCATTTGGATTGGGTGAGATTTGTGATTGTCAATCAAAAAAAAGTTTCTTGTATAACTAAAAAAAAATACAATGTGTAACCGTAACGTTTAGATTAGCCTGAATTTGCTGATCCGTATTCTTTATAGCTAAGACCCGCTTGATTAGTCCAAGTTAAGTCAAGTTCATTTAATAATCCAATTCCGGTTAATGAAATTTTAATCAGAATTTTTTACCGATTTAAACCGATTTCTTTCTTTATCCTTTTACTTTTCCCCAAATTTTATTTTTCGTTTTTTTTTTCAAATTTTCTTTATTGTTATTTTTTTTTCTGTTTTTTTTCGAATTCTTTAAAACCTTTTTCTTTTTTCGAGTTGGTCTTTTTTCCAATCCGAAAATTCTTTTTTCACTTTTCTTTTTTCGGTTTGGCTATCTGAAAAACTTTTTTTCACCTTTCTTTTTCGGTTTGGCTTTTTTTTCAAATCGAATTTTTTTTTCCCGAACCACATTCTTAAACCATTTAGATTTGGATCGGCGATCGGATTGACGCTGCGGCATTACGGACTCACGGTAATTGTCTTTTCCCCCGATTCTTATCATTATTATTATTAATAATAATTTCCCTAATTAATTTACTTATTTATTTTTTGTAACAATAGATCGGTATAGTAAATTTTATGGGAAATTGTTTTTTTCATGACAATAGAACGTTATAATTAATTTTTCTGAGGAATTGATTGTTATAATTGATTTTTGGGGATTTTTTTTTCACATTAGTAATTAGTGAGATATTTTATTTTCTATAACAATAGATTGCTATAATGAATTTCTTTGAGATATGGTAACAATATATATGTATTTTTTTTCACAGAGGATGTAATTTTTTTTAATGTTACAATAAAATTTTTTAAGATAAAAAAAAAGGATTTTTTTTTGTAACAATGTAACAATAAACTATTATACAAAATTGTTTTTGTAATGAATTTATAAATAAATCATAAATTTCACAGTACCGCAACATTCATTTCGTGTGATAAATAAAATTTGCGTTTAATAATAATATTTCATATACTGTATAACACTTGCACACAACTCATTATTATTTGTATAATCATATAAATTGTGTAATTTATTACATTTATTTCCTACTAATCCCATCATAATAATAGTAAAAAACTAGACCTATTCACACTGCATGGTAAATAAAATATAAGTGTATTTATTATTACTCTCTTACTTTATCGTCTCTGGTGCAACGCGATAGTATTATCCTAATACAATACTTTCTGAATAGTAAATATTACGGCTCTTTAATTTCCTGAGGATATCGAAATTTCTTTTTACAGAATTCCTTGGGTAGATGCATGGGAATGCAGAAATACTGTAGGTTGGTAAATTAAAATAGGGGGCAGTAATCGCAATTCCTTCCGAACAATTCCCATTGCAAGGCATTGCTTCTTTTCAAGATTACCAGATCAGTGTTAATGAAAATTCTGATGAAAAAAAATGAAAAATTAATTTTTTGTTATCACAGGAAAATAGAAACCAATTTCATGAGGTTGATCTCTAATCATTTTAATTTTTATGCTATTCTGTAGTCCTTTCTTATGTTTATATTTCATACAGTAGACATGACGAAGTTCACGTTGATCAGAAGTTTCTTTCTCTCTGTTTTTACATTTTCGATCCATTGCATTTACTATCATGACGAAAGTTGAAGTCTGCGAAGTAGAGCTGCGACCCGTTACCCGTTTACCCAGATACAATTCGGGTATACTCGAGTATCTATGAGTATCCGTTTTATGTTGACATATTACCCAGGTATTACTCAGGTAATTGCTCCATAAATTTTGCCAGAATTAAGATGTTACAGAATTTTAATGCCCGGCCAGAATTAATGTTTATAAATCACTTGGTGATCGAATGGGGTGCTAATAAGCATAGGGATGCCAACGGTCAGTTCGGTTCGGTTTTGGTTTTAAAACCGCAGTTTTCAGCTGAAACCGAACTGACTGCAAAACCGACCGATAAAACCGAATTGTAAAACCGATCGCAAAACTACTGCAAATTGAATGAACTAATGTTAGAAAGTATTAATTATAATTTTATTTGATAATATTTCTTAAAGTTATAATTTTTTTTTTACGATAATAATGTCAATTTTGCGATTTTTTTCAGCAGAATGAAAAATCACGTGATCGATGCGTAAAATATAAATTTTCTATTATTTCAAAAACAAGAATAATATATATGTATTTATACAACTAAATCATAATTTTTAATAGTATTCTCAATAAAATTAATAAAACAAACATTTTTTTCTTTTGGAATATATGATTAACTGATCAGTTTTTTTTGTCGGTTTTTTTATATATAAAACTGAGGGTTAACCGGTCGGTCTTGGACTGAAACCGAACTGTAACCGAACTGGTAAAAACCGGTTATAATCGGTTATAATCGGTTATAACCGAAACTTTTGGCATCCCTAATCTAGTGTTTGGATCCGGATAAAAACCGTTATCCGGATAAAATAATTACTCAATCCGGATAAAAACTTTAATTTTGTAAAAGGTGGAATTAAATCCAATTATCAACAAATTTGAGTACTATGATCGTATTTGTAACACTAAGAGCTTTCAAACAAGCCATAAATCATAAAGTTCTGATCATTAGTTCATGAAATACAACAGTTTATCCGAAATCTGCAATCTGGATAAAATCCGATGAAATCCGGATAAAACCGCGGTTTTTACCCGGATAATTGCACTTTATCCGGATTGACCCAGGTCAAACCGGATTCGGATCCAAACACTACCCTAATCAAGATAATAATACAATTAGTAAGTAAATATGTATCAATGATCAAAAAAAAGTTTAATATATTATAATTTTATTATATACATCAGGACAGTAAATTATTTTTTATGATTTATAACGAACATTTAACATTTTAAGTTTGTCTTGCACGTTAAATAAACAAGTAATTAAAAAAAAGAACATTTAAAATTTTGAATTTTTAAAATCAAAGTTTCTTAGGAAACCAAGTTTCTGCGTCAGCGTCACGTTCCTCCAACGCTTCTGGTTCTGCGTCATGTTGGCCCAGGCCACTTCCTAGGTTGAGCTTCTGCATCTGCGTCATGTTTTACATCATTTGGTTCTGAGTTACCCAAAGCTTTTATAATATTATTAAAAGATTCCATTTTAATAATTAATATTAAAATTAATAAAAAAAAGAAAAAACTTTAACATGAAGAAATTGTTTATTGGGTAATACCCGCTAAAACAATAGTAAAGACAAATATTTAGATCGCATGATTGATTTTATGTATGTTATATTTGTTATATAAAATTTTTAATTTGTTTGTTAATTTATTTTTTATAAAAAATTTCTCTCCTCTTTCTCAAAGTGTTTATATAGGAAAATTTTCTATATTAACTCATTATTTATGATAACATTGTTTTAATTAGTATTCCGAAATTTAAGCAGCCATTTTTTTTTTTTTTTTAAATTTAACTCCGGCCAAAGTCATCATAATTCTGACCAAAATCGCACATAATGCGGGCCGACGTTGCTTATTTTCAGGTATTACCAATGAAAGAAGACGTACAATTGCCACGTTTTATTACATTGCGCCATGTTAAATCTACAATTGAATAGCAGAGCCACTTTAACCTTTATATTAATAATGTGAGAATGCGAGATTCTGATTTCAATAATTATTTTGAGCCGCAATCATCGTAAATTGTTGTTTTATTAACGAGAGTGAATTAAAAAGATACGTTACGAGAGTATTTTTGCCACGTTTTTTTACATTGCGCAATCGGAATGAAACGGTATTAATAATGTGAAAATAGATGATCTTTTTTTTTTTAAAAAAAAAAAAATTCATGAGTAAATATGTCTCATTTTAAACTGATTTACTGATTTTGAATAATTATCATCATATTATTATCTTTACTTAAAACTTAATATTTTAAGTTACATCATTGATTTCATTTCACAGCCACTTCAATGGAAGTGGCTCGGACAATCTAATCACATCACCACGTGATTTATCAAAAAATACTTTATCACCATTTTAATGCGTTTCCATATGATTTCAATTAAAAGTAGTAAAAGTAGTAAAGTTAATAAAACAAAAAATTTTAAACTAATAAATCGCGTGATTCAAAATCTTTTTTATTATACAATATAATATATTTTTATATTTTAGTTTCTTTATTTTAAAATAAACAGAATAAAATTAATAAAAATTCTCGGAATGTATAACATTGTTTAAATATGAATTTATACGATTGAAAAGACACATGATTTGTCATTTAAAATCTTTTTTAAGTCATTTTTTTCCGAAAAAATATTGGCAGATACTATTTATTACTTAATATATGTGAATATAAAAATTTAATTTTTTTAAAAGAGTAACGAAAAAAATTTATATTCCATTACAAAACAATAAGTTTATTAAAAGTTATGAATACAAATTTTTATTAAATAATTGTATTGAACTAAAAGTTATTTGTGATTATTAATATTTATTATATTATGGCTTTTATGAACTGGAATAGGTATATTGGATCATTGTTAGAGAAATTTTGCTTTTTATTCCAGAATAATCAAAAATTGTTGAAATTAGATCACAGGAAGCTTAGGTATTGATTTTTAAATAAATGATTAGAATGGTGGTCAATTTTTGCGAAATATGAACAGGAAATATATATTTTTTATTAATATATTAATATTTGGTATAACCCCCATTACATCAATACATGATTTAATACATGAGACAATTGAGACATGCTTAACCATTAAGGTGTTATCAAGATCTTCTAATTACATCAAAAAATTTTCCTTTGAAAAAATTTTCTTTAGAACAGCTCATATATTTTAATAGGGATAGTAAGATCTGAACTATAGGAAGGTCAAGGATGGATCCGGCTTGGAAGGCGAGTTTTCAACATCACTGGAAGTAGAGCCATTATCTTATTATTAAATAAATTTATCTATCACATTAAAGAATATGTAATCCTAAAATTATTATATTGATTAGACTCAAATTCATGGAAAATACTTTGTTCAAAATTATTTAGAAATTACAAGTTATTTCAATTAAATTTTACAGTGTGTAATTCAGTTCACATAAATTAAATAAGTATAAAACTTTCATAACCGAATCTTTATAATCAATCAATTTTTTAAAAAGAATTAATTGTTTACAAAGAGACTTTTATACCTTTTACCTTTTATCCTGTAGTATAGGAGGTAATTTCTTAGAATTATGTTATGATTATGGTGATACAAAAGAATAAAAAGTAATTTCATTAATAAAAAAAAGTGTTTACTATGGTAACGCGTGTCATCTGACGCAAATTGATACCTGAGGCATAACACAATAACACATACACTTGACTACATTTAACTTTTAATATTCGAAATAAATTTTTTTTTAAGAATAAAAACTCTATATCTACCAAACTTTATTATCTCTTATCTTTTTCTCATAATCTTTTTTTTTTTTTTTTAGAGAGAATATGTTCATAATTATCAGAATCGCTCGTTACCCACATTAAGAAATATTCACCGAAGGATGGTCCATAATTACGAAATCTATTATCTCGATGCACATTTTCCACATTACTTAAAAATTGTATCTTTAAAAATTACACTTACTCTTAAAGGAAAAAATAAAACTATGTCTAATATTATAATATTGTCCAGCAGTATTCTAAACTGTAGGATTTACATCCACCAAGAATTTCTTCTGTTCCTTTTACTTGTAATAAATGTAATACCAACTTCACTGTCGCATAATTCATGAAACTTTTAGGAATAAATCCATCTCTGCTTCCTCCGTCTTAATAATTTAAATTCGAACGGAAGGTATAAGGTATAATTCTCTCAGATATGAAAATTTATTATTATAATCCACATTATTAATCCATCTTGAAATAATTGAAATTATATTCAAACTATCAATTTTTGTACCAAGTTTTAAATTAGTACTTACTTTTCTCGGAAGTAAAATATTATTATCACTTGATTCACTGTCAGGATTTATATAAGAACTTAACAAATTTTCACATATTTGTTGATCAAGAAGTTTTTTATAGGGATGAATTTTACGTAAGAAATATTTAGGTGATAAACTAAAAATCCAATCACAGGTATACAATGCTGTAAAGTATTTTTCATTAATTTAAAATCAAGTATCAGAAGATTTTGAAATAATGGTTGGATTTTTTGCAATACCCCTTCTTAATATATGTTCCCAAATCGCGATTTCTTTCATTTGTAAATCATCTCTTTTAGTAAGGGCAATGACAGATATTACCTAATATCAGTTTATTATAAGAGCTTACCCCCCCTCCCCCAGGTAAGATATATTATATATGTAACCTAAGATTTTCAATTACCCCCCCTCCCCCTAGAATATTAGGTAATATCTGTCACTGCCCTAAGTGAAACTAAAGATTTTTCTGGAAGTAAAGTAAAATCGAGTGAATCAAATACTTTCTTTAGAGAGTTTGCCATAATACCGTACTACATTGTTGAAGTTCTGATAAATTATTCTTGTTCTATTGTGTGTGTTCAATACACACGGATTTATTTCATTGAAGTTGAAGTTGATCAGCAGTAGCCAATAATTCAAAATTTTCTGAAACGTTTTGTCCATTTAACGAAAGAATGTCACCATAAATATACCTATGGTATAAAACAAAAATAAAATAAAATAAAATTATTGAATATAAATAAGATTATGCTACATTAAATTAAATTTATTAAAATTCTTATATTAAAATTATTTGAAAAACTTCTGATGATATTTTTGGTAATTTAATACGAGTTAAGACATTATCATTATTTTTTTTTTTATTTGAAGCCAAAGTTCTTCGTAAATAAGGAGAACGGTATCATAATATATTTGTATGTGTACGAAATATTTTACGTCAGGATCTTCCCCAACTTCAATTGTAATATCATAATACTCATCATCTTTTAATAATTCAATAAGATTTTGACTTAATTTCGAAAAAATTGAGTAGAGTCAGTAGAATTATATTTTTTTTTATACTGTAAATAGAAAATTTTGATTGAAAAATGTGTCAATGTTGTGTAACCGTTTACTAAAAAATAAATAATCTTCTGTACGACATAAAAATTTTAGCCAAGTGAATTTTATGGCAAGCCGTTCAAGTCAAAAGTCCGCCGCTATTGCAGCAGGTACCTGTTGCTTTCGCGGCAGGTACCTGCTAGATTTGCAGCAGGTACCTGCTGAATTTGCGGCAGGTATCTGCTGGATTCACGGCAGATACCTGCTAGATTTGCGGCAGGTACCTGCTGAATTAGCGGCAGGTACCTGCTGAACTTGCAGCAGGTACCTGACAGGTTACAAATATGGTATTTTATTTTTTCTGGGTCAAAAAAATTTTTTTGATTTCCATTTATAGTAATCTACCGAATTATTGGATTCAAGTTGGTTTATTTCTTTTTTCAGAAGTGATCTTCATCTCATAATTCGGCCCATTACTTTAAATTTTGCTAAAATTAATGATATATAAGGAATCTATATTTGATTAATTATAAATAAATTTTTGAAAAGATCGTTTAATTGAAAAAGATTACTGCAGAATACATTTTACAATAAGCTTAAAATCAAACTATAAAATTTATATTATTTATTTTTTATGTACTATTAATTTTATTGAAGTTTTGCTTTATATATCATTATTAGTAGTTGAATTTATAAGAGTTATGACAATGGGATTGACATAAAATGAGTCTTTGTCATATTCACACATCTGCTCATAATTGTTTTAGATTTCCTGCCCAAATTCAAAATAAAAATAAATAGTTTATTTATGATTTTTAGCAAATCAACAGACATTTCTATAAAAAAAATATACATATAATGAGCTATCAATAAAGTTAAATTTACTGTAGTTGCTTTTTTTTAAAAAAAAAAATATTCCCTATATGTAAATTTTTGTTCATTAGTTCTTTTAATGGTTTTGCAAAGATTTCATAATTTAAAATTTTTTTTCTAAATGATCAGAGATTTCCAGCCATAATCCACATATAAGAAAGGGTTTTGTGATATTGGTTTAAAATTAAAAGAATAATATTAATGATAGTGGCATCAATAAATTTAAACCAATATAGTTAAATTGGGTATATAAATAATAATATTCTGGTAGTGTATTTTGTTATACTAATCATTTAATCAAATTGTAAATTTTAAAATTATTTAAATTGATTTTTATATTGCTCATTTGAATTTAAAAATTTTATAATAATTTATTATTAATTCTTTCATTTATAATTTTTTTTATACTTAAAAGTTGAGTTTCAAGTTATTTTTTACATTAAACCTTATTTTAAAAAATACTTTGAATTTACAATATAAATTAAAACTATTAAAGATTTTAGTATTGATTATACGATTAATTCTAGCCAAATTTATAGTGATGGGCAGAATTATGAGATGAAAATCACTTCTGAAAAAAGAAATAAACTAACTTGGATCTAATAATTCGGTAGATTACTATAAATGGAAATCAAAAAAATTTTTTTGACCCAGAAAAAATAAAATACCATATTTGTAACCTGTCAGGTACCTGCTGCAAGTTCAGCAGGTACCTGCCACAAATCTAGCAGGTACCTGCCGCAATTCTAGCAGGTACCTGCCACAAATCTAGCAGGTACCCGCCGCAATTCTAACAGGTATCTGCTGCAATTCTAGCAGGTACCTGCTGCAAATTCAGCAGGTACCTGCCACAAATCTAGCAGGTACCTGCCGCAATAGCAGTGGACTTTTGACTTGAACGGCTTGCCATAGAATTTCATTATTTTCATTATTTTATTTACATATTTATTATTTTATGCATCATCGCAGACGGCAAACCCGCACAAAATTAATTCCTCTTTTGGATGTGAAAAAAATTTTTTATTGCATCATTTTATACAATTCCTTAATAAGAAGTTGAAAGGAAAATTAATGTTTGAATAAAGTATATTGTTAAATTTACGCTAACCTACGCCAACGGATATCCAATGAAGTTATCGGATAAAAAGGACATAAAAAATTTAGTTGGCTTCGAATACTACCCATAAACAATATTTTTCTTTTTTTTTGACAAATAATAATAAACAAAATTAATGACTTGTACCAAAATCGAGAAATACAACGAGTATAAAACTATACAAGAACGAACAAAAAGAACGAATTAGAAAGTAAACATAACATTATTTTAATTTATTATATACACCTATTAATGTTTTTTTTTTTGTTTACACATAAAAAATTTTTCATTGAATAAATCATATTTTAAAAAATTCTTTATTGTAAAATTTATTTTTCCCTTAATTTTTTCAGTTACTTGATTTTACCTCACGTGATTAAGTATTTATATGGATCGACTGTTTACGTAAATTTTGTGAAACTCACTCCGGAATTTAATAGATTTTTATTTCCGTTCATCCTTTCATGTTTAAAATTGTATTTACAGTATTATGGCTACTATTCGACAAGAAATAGTTAGTGCTGCAATTCATAGAGCAAATGCATTATTAGACCCTAATATTCAAAATAATTTAGAAAAACAACATGTATTTAGAAAACAAACAGTTCTTGCTGACAAATCTCTTACAAAGGATGAAAAATCATATGCAGTAAAAATATTAAATGAAAATTTTGATTATCATAACATTCTTTATAATCAAGGAACAAAAAGAATTTGTGAAAATTGTCATGATGACATTATATTGTGAACATTGTATTCGAAATTATTTAAAAGAAAATTTTTCAAACTGGACATCTGGAAATAATGATATTGATAATTTAATACAACAATGTCAAATAAAAGCACTTATCCCAAATTTGATAGTAGAATGGATTCCTTATAATAATTTACAAAATATTGAATACTTAACTAAAGGTGGATGTTCCGAAATTTATACAGCAGTTTGGATTGATGGACCTTATTATGAATGGGATTCAAAAGAAAAACAATTAAAAAGAGATGGTAGATGGGTAAATGTAGTGCTCAAAAAATTAGAAAATGTCGAAAGTGCCAATAAAAGTTGGTTTGAGGAGGTATATACAAGTAATTAAAAGTATTTTGAATTTTTTTTTTAAATTTAATTGCAATTCTTTTAATTTTGTAGGGTATGTCTCATCTATATTTAGGTAGCAAAACTTTTCTTATAGTGCGATGTTATGGTTTAACTCAAAATCCATTTAATGGAAATTATATGATTGTAATGAATCGTATGGATATAAATCTAAGAGAATATTTGCAACAAAATCACAATAAACTCACATGGAAAGAAAGAATTCAAATTATTGATAGTATAATTAGCGCAGTTTATGATATTCACAGAGAGGGTGCAATCCACAGAGATTTACATTCTGGAAATATATTATTTAATCAAAATGATCAAAGATTTTTCATCAGTGATTTAGGATTTTGTGGACCAGCTAATATACCATTAGATAGTATATATGGAAATCTTTCATATATAGCACCAGAAGTCATTGTTAAGAAGAAATATATTTTTGCATCTGATATTTATAGTATTGGCATACTTATGTGGGAAATCTCATCTGGACAACCACCTTTTATTAATAAACATGATTATGATCTTGCAATAAGAATAATAAATGGAATGAGACCAAAAATAATACCAGTCACTCCTTTAGAATATAAAGAATTAATGGAACAATGTTGGGATGCTAATCCTGCGAAAAGACCTGATATTTACACTCTTTCTAATAAAATGGGTGATATTTATAGATCATATTGTCAAAATGAAAATGAACAAAGAATAATTAGTAAAATTACGAGTATTAATAGCTCTCAATTAAATACAAGATTTAATGTGAATTCTAGTTCTAGTGATAGTTCCTTCTTTGGAAATTTTAGTGCAAGTTCTAGTAATTGGAATATTAGTAGTAGAGTTTATAATTTTGAAAATTTACCTGAACCAAAAAATGCAACAAAAGGTAAGAATTTTTTATTGTATAGTTTTACTTATTACAATATTAATATTAATTATTCACTTTATTCATTTAGAAGAACAAGATGGTAATTATTAAAATATGTATAGTTATTTTTTTTACTATGTTAACTTTATTTTTATAGCTTATTATAGTATACAATTTGATTTTGATTTACAAGATGGTTTGATTATTGGTAAGGTTAGCAATTAATATATTTGTGTTGAAAATTTTCGATATATAATTCTAATTTATATCTATTTATTTTTAAATAAAATAGAAGAGAAATCCAATAAAAGAAGTTATTTTGATTGTAATAGATCATTTTTATAATAATTTATTATAATGCTGTAAATCAAATAATCAATTTTTTTTATTTATTATTATAAAATAGATGATGAAAAAGATCTAGCTTCTAACTCTAATAAAAAAAGTCAATTTAAATAATAATGAAGGTAATTATTACTGAAATTTTCATATTTTATTTTATCATTATTAATGTAATTAAATATTAAATTTTAGAAATACAATATCATGAAATTGGATACCAATATACACAAAGAAATTATGCTACGAGTAAGATGGACCTTAACTATTTATTAAATTAGAGCTTATCATCATTATTTTTATATTGTTTTATTTAGAATTATTTAAACACTAAGACTAGAGTAGCAATATTTGCAAATTATCTTAGTTTGTAATTTATATACATTATATATGTGTGTGTGTGTGCATTTTATTTTAAAATTTGGCATGAGTATAATTTAATCGTACATTCTAAAATATGAGCCCTAACTCTACCCTACCCTAATGAAGATTCTACAATGTCTGCGTCACGTTTATATCCATAGGCTTCTGGTACCGCGTCACGTTTATATCCATAGGCTTCTGGTACCGCGTCACGTTTATATCCATAGGCTTCTGCTTCCGCGTCACGTTTATAGCCATAGGCTTCTGGTGCTGCGTCTGCGTTAATAGTGAATTAAAATATTATTAAAAGAATTCGTTTGACTAATTTGATAAAAAAGAAAAAATTTTTTAATAATTTATTTACTCGCTAAAGCCATAGTAAAGCCGAAAATCAATAGTAAGTGTTTTAATTGCATGATTTCAGATAATATTTTCGCGATATGTATAACTTTTAATTCGTTGTTTGTTTAATTTGTTTGAAGAAAATTTTATTGTCTCAAGGTCTTTTTATAAGAAAGTTTTTCTATAATTACATTACAAATATTTCATGATTATATTTTTTATATTCGTACAAGAGTATTTTTGCCACGATTTTTACATTGCGCCCATTGCGTCACAAACGAACAGCGCCACTTTAAATTAATAATGTGGAAATAGATGATTTCTTTTTTAATAAATATCGTGTGTATAATCGTAAATATGCCACATTTTTACATAATGGATTATGTTTTAGCTTGTTTTGAATAATTGACATTATACTATTATCTTTACCATTTGTTTTCATTTCACAGCCACATTAGTTTTATTTTTTATTTTTATTATCCATGTGAACAAGATTACAGAAAGATAGACAAGAACTAATTAAATTTCACAGCCACATTAGTGGAAATGGCTCGGATAATTCAATTTTAATCACATTATCACGTGATTTGTCAAACATAAATTATATCGATGCATTAAAATAATAAATCACGTGATGCATTTTTTTTTTATTATTATACACAATTACACATATATAATATACGGCAATACATTATTTTAAAATAAGCGGATATACGATATTATTTAATATGAATTAAATGATTGAAAAATACGGATGATGAATCTTTATCATTTAATCCATTTTCCGAACACTGCTTCAGACATTACTAAAAATATTGATATATTTGAATATAAAAATTGAGAATAACGAAAAATTTAAATTTCATTTAATAATATAATAAGCATACGATATACTATATAAAGAAATTTTTTTTTTAGGATTTCAGATGACAATAAACTTGTTTATCTATTTTAACACGAACTTTGACATTTAAATATTTAATATCGAAATTATTGTTGAAACGAATTCATATTTTTTTCCTAAATTTATTTTTTTTTTACTTGTAAAATTTCATTATTATTTATTAGAATTTTGAGTTAATATTAATTATACATCTCTAGCATAGATAAGGTTTTTAAATGATTATTTTAAATCTTCATCAGATAATAACTGAAAAATTGAAATGCTTTTATTGTTGTCGACGTTAAGTGTTATGGTGGTATTGCATTGTGATTTAACGTTATGAGTATCATTTCGTATTTATCGTGGTTAATTTTAATGTTAGCAAATTTGTAGAGACTATTTACAGTTTGAAAATTTCGTTTCAAGGCTTCTAAAGACGAAGCGAACCAACTTGTGTCATCTAAATATCCAACTAGAATCGTATTAAAGGAAATAGAGGTGTTTTATTATTCGTTGTATATATTATTGTATTTTTTGATAGAAATATTAAGATGTTGTGACGTTGATTTGGAACATTAGGTCATACGTATAATATATAATCCATAGAATCGGTCGCATCGATTCCTCGTAGTACAATGTACACTATATCAAATGGTGATCTCTCTATGTTATGTTTGACAAATCACGAGATGATGTGACTAAACATAAGTGATGTAATTTAAAATAAATAGTATGAATAATAGTATGATGACGATTTTTCAAACCCATTTTAAAACATAATCATCTTTACACCATACATCTATACACACGATTTTTTTTTTAAAAAATAAAATCTATTTAAAAAAAAAAATCTATTTCCACATTATTAATTCAAAGTGGCACTGTTCGTTCCAATTGTGGCGCTATAAATAAAACGTCACTTATACTTCGCCTCGTTAATAATTTTACTGATATCAAAATCTCGCATTTTCACATTATTAATTAAATTCGATTGTAAATTTTAGCATGGCGCAATATAGAAAAACGTGGCAAAAATAATCTTGCTAGCCCTTTTATTGAAACAATCGACCCAATGTGATCATGAAATAATTTGAAATACGTGTTACTATAGAAAACTTTTCTTATACAAACAATTTGAGAAAGAGGAGAGAAATTTCTACAAATTAAAATTAATCAATCATACAATTTTAAATACTTATTATTTATTGATTTTTGTCTTTACTATTGCTTTAGCGGGTACTAATAAATAATTTCTTTATGTTAAATTTTTTCTTTTTCTTTTTTATTAATTTTAATATTAACTATTAAAATGTCATTTTTTAATAAAGCTTTTGGAGAAATCGATAAACGTGACGTAAACGCAACCGTTTTCCAAACAAATAACGTTATAAATCATATACTGTCGTAGATTAATTAATATAATAAAACAAGTAAACAAGTAAACATTAAAGAGCTTTAAATATTAACGAATAGTAAAACTTTATTATGATTAAAAGTTTTGAAATGAAATTATTAACAAATGAAAATATTCTTGTTATTTATTAAAAATATATTAATCTTGTGAAAAAATTTATCAAATATAATAAATTCAAATCATTCAAAAAAAAAAAAAACTCGGATGATTATGCTTTGATAAAGAAAAAAAAATTTTTTAGATAATTATTTATTATTAAAAAAACGTTAGGCTTGCAAATCCCTGATTTTGTGCGGTTTGCGCCAGAGATGACGCCGGCCTACTTAAACTTATACCACATAACATCACAACTTAATTATTAGAATTTTCAGGCTGGACATCTATCGATTTTGTATTTTGTAATGAAGTATGGACATTCATTATTAAGAATCCTGGGAAATCCTTTTAATAATAATATATTTGTAAAATGATGATAATTATTAAAAAAAAAAAACATTATTCCAATTGATATCAACAAATTAGATATTTTACACTAATTTTGATATAGTATGAAAAAACGGGAATTCCTGAGCCTGTAGCTAGACCAATCTCAACAAATGTATGAATTATTATCTATTATTAAAATTTACCTTTATCATAATCATCTTAATATAAAAGTTATTTAATCTTTGAATCTCTTATGAGAATTAAGAGCGGTTTACATTTATTTATCTATTGAAGTCATTTTTTTTTACAATAACTTTCACTTAAAAGATCTTTTAAAAGCATCATGTCAAGCTCTCACATGAAAATGACCTCTTGTTTATTTATTAATAGTTTAATACGGTAACAGCATTAATCTCTCAACAGATAAATATATAAGTAAAATCAAAAATCGATGCAATTTGCGACCAAAAAAAGTCTATGAAATGATTTTTTAATAATAACCGGTTAAAAAAAACATTATTAAAGAACTCAAAAGAAATGACGAAATTGAATTTAAAGTATTGGAGTGAATTATGTCAAAATTTTATTGATATTAAATAATGTATTTTGATGGGTTGATTAATGTCATTTGAATAACAAAAATCATAATTGAAACGAAATAGGTCCAATGAGTTTTTAGCTCTACAATTTAATTAATTCAAAAATGTTACATTTATGATACAAGTCTCATGATTTATTTGAGCTTTTGATAACAAAAACCGAATGACAAAATCTTGATATTCTTATACCCTATAAAAAATTTTTATCCGAATATTTCCATTATTTCTCCGTGTCTTCCGTAAAAATTCCGTGAAAATGATACATTCACGGATATCCGTGTTAGCGAGATGAAAATTTCCATGATTTAAGGCTATTAATTCCATAAAAATGATACATTCACGGAAAAAACATGGAAAGATAAAACACGGATCAGATTTTTTACAGGGATACTGAAAAAAAAAAAAATCGTGAGAAACCTAAATTTTATCTATTTCAACTATTAGAATTTTTTTTGGAGTTAGTTTTTCATAGAAATTAAAATGAGTTTAATAAAAATGTTGTGTTTATTCAACAAACATTTTAATGTATTATAGAGTGTAATATTTACATGAGTAAACATTCAACCTGTCTCTTATACACATCTAGATGTGTATAAGAGACAGGTATTATAGAGTGTAATATTTACATGAGTAAACATTTAATACTGTAATGTAACTATTGCTAATATTTTAATATCTTTAATAATTTCTGGATTCGTCCGATGAAAAAAAAAAAATTATTTGAAAATAATGAAAATTTACTATGAATATAGTCTATTTTGTAATTAACTTTCTCACAGAAAGACGCTCACACACTATTCATACTACGCTGTTGCTTACAAAATTAATTTGTATTGTGTAGTTTATATTTCGAGTTATGACATTCTGGATAATTTTTTCCGGAAGTTAGTATAATAGATTATGCTAAATTGATTGATTTCCTTTTTGGTTCTTTGGTGGGTTCTGGTGTTTAACAATAAAAAAAATGTGCATAACAAAATACCTAACTAATACATAATACACAAATAAATCATAAACAAATTTATATTAACTAAAATTTGCGTTGCTGAAAAAATCTACCAACCAAATAAAACTAGAACTCCTAATATTTAATTGCTCCCACAGACACGAGCCACACAACCCACAAGCAGTTATCCTGGAAATCTTATTTTTCAAAGCAAGGGTCCGCAGGAGACGCCTTCCTGATGATCGTCATACCGCAGCAAATGATTTATATCGGCTTTCGGCTAAATTTATGCCGATTCTTTATTGAGTAGATTACATATTTAATTGGTACAGGCACGGAGTCACACAGCAGGCACAATTCAACGAATATTTATGTATTAGGTAACATTAAATTTTTTTTATGACCGTGGAATTCTTTTTCAAATAAATTTGAGACAAACTTACTTCTAACAGAATTAAATTATAAAAATGAGCTTTATTAACGAAAACCAACTAATATCTGAATCTAATGAATTAAATACTTCTGATAATTCTAATTCCGTAAAAATTAATCATGAAAATTGTTATGACCTAGTTAATAAAAAATTTTGGTGTAAAGGATGTGTTCCTCGTTGCATAATTGAAGGATGGACCAGTGGAAATGATGATATTGATAATTTTATTAAGAGTTCGATTTATAATGCACATTTGAAATATATTGGTGATGGTAAATATGGCCCATCATTTCTTGAATGGGTTCCATTTGATAGATTTGAAGATATGAAACAAATAGGTGAAGGCGGATTTGCAAAAGTGTATTCTGCAACTTGGATTGATGGTATAGCAGAATACATTAAACAAGATGATGAAAATTGGATAAAACGTGAACTTAAATCCAATAAAGTTGCTTTAAAAAGGCTAAATGAATCACAGAATATGTCAGCTGATTTTTTAAATGAGGTATTTTTTTTCACATGTACTTATTTATAATTTTAAAAAAATTAAAATTTATTTAATTTATTTTAATTTGTATAATAGCTTAAAACACATTGGAAATTAAATCGCTTACAAGATAATTCTTTAAGATTTTATGGAATAACTAGAGACCCAGAAACTGAAGAAATTATGATGATTATGCAACATGCAAAGAATGGAAATTTGAGAAATGTCCTTTCAAGTAATTTTGACAAAATTTTATGGTGTGAAAAAATTGGATATTTATATTATTCAACAATGGACCTTAAATATTTACATGAATTAGGATATTTTCATAAAGATTTTCATAGTGGAAATATATTAAATATCAACGGAGCTTCTTTTATATCAGATTTTGGATTATCTGGACCATCAAATGAACAAAAATTAGATAATAAAATATATGGCGTGTTGCCATATATTGCTCCAGAAGTTTTAAATGGAGAACCATATGCATTATCTTCTGACATTTATAGTTTTGGTGTAGTTATGGCTGAATTATCATCTGGAAAACCTCCTTTTTATAAAAGAAAACATGATAGTGGCTTAGCATTAGAAATATGTAATGGACTCAGACCAGAATTTGGAAAAGGAACCCCTGAAATTTATAAGAAATTAGCTTATAGATGCATGAATGCTAATCCAAATCAAAGACCAACAGCTAATGAATTATATGAAATATTAGAATGTTGGAAATCTCGTAAGGATGATGAAAAATATGGTTATAAAGGAGAGGAAGTTAGAATTGCATTTGAAGAAGCTGATAAAGAGATACCAAATATTTCAGCCTTGTATGAAAAAGATCCTGATGCTATTTACACTAGTAGAGCATTTACATTTAAAAATTTATCAAAACCCATTAATTCATCTTCTACATATCTTAATGAAGAAGATGGTGAAGGTATTGCATTATGTATTATTTTGTATAAATTTTATAAAATAATTAAGGAAATATTCATTATAATAGGTTGCCAGGATTCTCAGTTAGTTGACTTAGAGATTTCTAGTTCATTAAAATTAAAGGGTAAGTAGTTTAACTTATTACCTTTATCTATTTTAATGATGTAGAATAAACTAATAATTTTTAAATAATAGATGATGATGTTGACAACTAAACGAATCAAATTCGAAATCTTATACTCAAATATTGTTTTTTATTATTTATACTATCTTCTATAATATGAATTATAAAAATTGCTTTCGAATCCTTTTTAGGAGAGAAAAGATTTCAAAATAGATTCTTTTTTATCTGGAGAAAAATTAGCTACTGAATGGAACCAAGAGATTTAGAAAAAAAACAAGATATTTGTTCATGGCTTTAAATAATTTATAATTTGATTGGTAAAGTAAGGTCAATAAAATACTGATAAATTCCTGGAATTTTATTACCGATATGATTTGCTTTTATGCATAATATATACTCCAAAGATCAAAGCATATTGTTTCTTAATTATCTTTTGTTTGTAGTCATATAAAGAAGTTCAAAATCTATAAAATACTTATCTTGTGAAAGATTATTTCTTGTATTGTTATTATAAATAAGTCTTTTCTTTCTATTTTGAATTTATTTTTGTTTGAAGTTATAATGGAGTTAAATGAAATGATTTTTTTAAAAAAAGAATTGGCAATCCCATTTATTTATTAGTATAAAATCAATTTTAATTGGCATTAAAATATATATGAAACGACTTTTTTGTTAATAAATTTTGTAAATATTAATAACATATAAATTATATAGAATACTTGATTGTTTTATGCAATTTACCCACCTATAGGTAATTTTACTACATTTTGAAAAATTGATGAATATTATTTTTACAGGAGAATTATATATGACGGTTTTAGTTATACTAGCTGATAGCAAATATAACATAGGGTTTTAGTTTTCACGATAAGACATAACCGCTAATTGATCGCATGATCAAACGATGATTTTAATAAGATGATCTTAGTTAAATTTTTTTCAAGTTTTCTTATAGAAATTTTTTATCAAAAATTCTTGATCTAGTAATTTATAGAAACCTTAACGAACTTATAAGATTTTTAAGGAATCTGTAAATTACAAGCAGATCCCACCGTTGTGCACTATTTTATATTTATCAATAGTCATTAACTTTTGTTAAAAATTAGATATACTATAGACTAAACAAGTATAAAATACTAGTGTTAGATTACTGGAAGATTTTAAATATAAGGTTTTCAAATTCCAAATTTTATATTCAAACATCTAAATATGGTTTTAAATAAAATATAAAGTTTACAAAATTATTAATACTATATATCAACATACATTTTAGTAAAATATAACCTTAAAAATTCATATATAAAATATGTCTTTTATTATAAACACCTTCTTAAATAAACTGATCAATTTGCATGCACATGGTAATAAATATATATATTGTTCAATTACAAACTGATTTTTATTATTCAAAAAAAGTCAAATTTACATAATACTACTTTATGATCAGTGTTGAATAAATACTACATATACTCTCTATATATAAAATTGTTTACAGCAGATATTTAATTATGAATCAGAAGGTTTAATGATATTATTGTTAATGAATTTGCATTAATTAAGCTTACTTTAATTCAATCAGTAATTTCACATTCTAAACAATCGCTTTTGTCAGACTTTAGAAGACTTTCTGTAAATGGATTAGCAGTTAGTAACTTGATAAATAACCAAACAAGTAAATGAAGATCAATTATTACCTGAACATTTTATTGTTGATATATTATCATATATTTCATAATAACCATCAGAATTTTTTGGTTCAGTAAGATTTTTATAATTAAATGGTCTACTTTTATAAATCGCTTCAGGGTGTATTTTATTCGTCAAAGGCGATGAGTTAGTTGATGAATTATTATTAATTTGTCCCGCTTCTTCAATTTGTTTAATTAATTTGGTTTTATTGATGGATTCTGAATAGCTTTTTGTATCTTTATTAAAATCATTTAAAAACTCATTAAAAGTTCTTGAAAGAGATTTTGCATAAGGTCGATTTGATGGGTTCGCGTCTAAACAGCTTTTAATTATATGTAAAATTAATTTTGGTACTTTAATATTAAATTCAGGTCTTAATCCTTTACAAATATCTAATGCTAACAATTCATCATGAGCAACATTATAATATGGAGGTAATCCTGAAATAACTACATACATAATTATGCCAAAACTATAAATATCTGAAGCTTTGGTATAATCTTGTCCTCTTAAAATTTCAGGAGCCAAATAAGGTAAAACACCATATTTCATATTATTTCCTTCATTATAATTTGCTGGTTTACACAACCCCAAATCAGTTATACGAGGCGAAGTTCTATTACATACTATATTTCCAATATGTAAATCTCGATGAATTAATTCTTTGCCATGAATTTTCCTGAGCCCAGCTGAAATAGATCTTAAGATGTTAATCTTACATCTCCATATCCGAATATTCAAATCCAAATTAGAAAATTTGTAACTGTTTTGCCATTTATGCTGCTTTTGACTTACTTCATTCAACAAATTTTGTAGATTTCCTCTCTCAGCATAATACATAACCATAATATAGTCTTTTGTATTAGGATCTTGAGTTATTCCATAACATCTAACAATGGTTTCTGTCATAGTATACTCATGAACTTTAAGATGTGATGTAATCTGATAGTTTAAATGAACTAGTTATTAAACTATAATTAATAAATAAAACACATAATATAATTAAGTATACCTCATTAATAAATTTCAATGTAACATTTTGTGAATTATTCAAACTTTTAAGAGCTACTAAGGAGTCACTGCCTCTTACTCTTCCCCATTTACGGTAACTAGTATCCCAGTGTGTGATATGGCCATCTTTCCAACTTGCTCTATATACTTTTCCAAATCCACCCTCTGCAATATATTTAGGTTTACCAAACCTATTATAGGGTATCCACTCTAATATTTGGTGATGGTTTTCTGCTGATAACTGAGTATTTTGAATGAAATTATCAATTTCATCGTTACCACTGGTCCAACTGTCAAAATTTTCTTGGAATCTTTTTGAATTACAAGGTTGACACCAATCCTTTCCCGTATTTATTTGCTTACACATTATACATCTTCCATATTTTTGCTCAGTATTATTCGAAACACAAGACCAACAATATTTATTTAATTCATTATTATGTGGTTTTTTGCATTGAACACATTTGCTTCTTGGATCTTCTGCATTTAATTGATTCATAGTGCAGATAAATTATTTTGTCAGCAGATTTATTAAATATTTTTACCTGAAAATATTTTGACAAAAAAATTATAACGGATATTTATATACATCTCAGATGATCGATAAAACTACCTTTTGTAGCAAAAAATGGCTGCTTTCGTGTTATCAAATATTAAATGTTAAAATACGATGTATAGTATGCCATTCTTTCCGAAATTTACCACATCATTAATCCATTTATACCAAGAATGATAAAGCAATAATTAAACATTGACTATGCTATTCTTTTGGAATTCATTAAAAGCTCATTCGGGATAAGAAATTTATAACCAGCATCCTCATTCTTACCATAAAAAGCTTAATAAGACCATTCATAAATCTAACAGGAAAAGTATCTAGTGTGAGAAAATTTATTGAGAGTAACGTTCAATATAAAGTTTTATTTTTTAATTTTATAGAACAAATAAATATACACAGTGAAATTCGATAAACCGGATCTATCGGTTCCACTAAAAATATCCGGTTTATCAGGATATCCGGTTTAGCGAAAAAATTTCGATATATTGAAAATCTATTATATTGAATTTTCAAAAAATTTTCATGCTAATAAAACTAATATACACTATAATTTGATTTTTTCATCTAGTTTTAAGTTATAGAGGTCATGAAAATGAATATAAAATATTT